GTCGGCAAACTGCTGCTCGGCAAACCGCGGCTCGCAAGCCACATGCGGCTCTTTTCTAAAAATAAAAATGGAAAAATATCCTCGGGTGAGGATTAAAACAAAACAAAAAAAGAAACCAACTAGAAAATAAACCTGACTCCTCAAGACCAGTGGTCGGCAAACTGCGGCTCGGCAAACCACGGCTCACGAGCCACATGCGGCTCTTTGGCCCCTTGAGTGTGGCTTTTCCACAAAATACCGGCTCTTCCACAAAATACCGACTTCTGCGCATGGGCCACGAAGTTTCAATCGCACTGCACGTGCGCGCCCGCCCGTGGTATTTTGTGGAAGAGCCACACTCAAGGGGCCAAAGAGCCACATGTGGCTCACGAGCCGCGGTTTGCCGACCACAGAGCTAGTGAAATGGAGATAATTGTACTGAATTTGATTATCCCTTCAATGTATAAAGAATATAAAGCCATATTAGTGTTTGATCTTTTATTTTATGGAAGGACTTACATAATAAATACTGTTTCTACCTTGAATTCTTTAAAAATGATCATTGATAGTAATACAATAAGTTATAATATTAAATTATTTTCCAACTTTATATAATGCTTTACCGTTTATTTTTACCTAATATTATAGTTCCTTTCCATACTTTAAGCCTCATGAAGATTAGGGCATATCTTATATTTTTCTATGTATCCTTCAGCACCTAGTACAATGTCTAATTATTGCAAGAACTCACACTTGAATGAATCAAAAGACAAACATGCATTCAACAAACGTTTACCTCCTGTTGGTCCAAGCATCATATCAAGCAACTTAAACAGATATAATAACCACATATAACAAAGGTCTTATGATAACAGAATTTTAGTGATGAAAGAAACCTGACAATTCTAGTTTAGCTTTATGCTCAATGAAAAATACCATTTGTGGTATCATTTCCCTTTGTTTCCTACCAAAGTAAATACTTAACTTCAAAGAACCTACTCTATTTCAACAACCTGAGTAAAGCTTGCCCTGACAAAGTAACAGCAACAAAAACGGCAATAATTACGTCTTTCGAGTACATACTGTGCTAAGGACTTCACAAATATCCCATTTGATGTTCACCACAAGCCTTTAGCATAGATATTATTATTATTATCTGTTCTATTTTAAAGATGAGGAAACTCAGTCATGGACATTAAGTAGCTTGCTCCAGGTCATCCAGATTGTAAATGGAGGAGCCAGGATTCAGAGCTGTAAGTCTGTATGACCAGAGCCCAAGCTTCCTTCTGTTCAATTACAAAACAGTGCCCCCATCCGGCTTATTTGGCAATTAATCTTGGGTGAAAAAACCTAGTGCTATCATTTTATTGTCTTAAGCTTTTGTTTGCTTATGTTAATTATTAAGTTTTTCATATGTTTATGTCTTGTTTCCTGAGAGTTTACATATTTGTGTCCCCGCCATTATCTTGCAGGAAGTAGAGGTTCAGTAAATGTTTGACAGATCCCCCTCCCCCAACTTCCAATGAAGAGATACTATATTCAAGGCAGCTTATTTCCCTGTTAGAAAGTTGTTCCTACTGTTCAAATTTTTTTAAGTAACTATAAACAACTTAAAAAATCATAGAATTCTAAAACACGGATAGTATGTATTCTGTTGCCTTTGTTCTATGGTTGAGAAAATCTAAAGTTAATTGAATTGCCCAGGGTCACGAGGCTATTAACTTGCAGATCCATGGCCATGAACTCTGGTCCCTTGAGTCAATATCTGGTAATATTATTTCAGATATTTGAAAATAGTTGACAGGCTCCTCATAGTCCTCTTAGGCCATGAGGTTTGAATTTTTCACCACCTTAAATATTCTTCTGGTTTTAAACCAGTTTTCTAATGATAATATTAACAGACTCTCTTAAGGTACTGCAGGGGAACAGAAGCATTCATTTATTACTAATAGCATTTTAATTAAGTATAATCTTTATGCAAACTAATCTGTCATTATTAGTAAAAAATGTATTTGCCTTATAGTTTGGTCATCCCACTTTGTAGTAATAAACTGTATCTTAAGGAAATAGTTAAAAAGAAAAAAGAAGAACAATTTACTTTAAAATGGATTTAGAGTAATCGCTACTTAGAAATGGCTCGACATTTGTAGAATATGTGTATATGTGTAGATTAATATATACTTGTCATTGAATATTGTGATTCATCTAATTCTCAATTCACTTGATAAGACTATTATCCACCCAGTTTCACTGTTTTATTCACAAGAATATCATGGGAGACTATTGAAGGCTATGCAGAACTGAAAAATATTACACATGATATTCTCTTCATCTACTAATATCGGCACTTCTCACCAATTTTTATCTTTTTCTTTCTAAGAGGTCGCCTTGCCTGCATTATTGTCTCCCTCACTAAATTCTCCACCACACTATAGCTAGAGTGATCTAAACTCAAGCCCTCTTTTAACTGTCCTATTTCAAATGCTTCAAAACTCTCCCATCTTCCATAGAGGGTATTCTTAACTTTAGTTCCAGGACTCCCAAGAACTTTAAGAATTTTATAATTCTGTTCCAAATTTTATAATTCTGATGCTCTGAAAAGCATCATAGATTTGTATTAGATTGTAAAAAAGTAACTATGATTTTAATGCCTATAAATCACATATAAAATAAAGACAAATTGTCCTAAACAGTTATATAAACCTCTTCATGACCTAATTCCTAACCGCCTAAGCTTCATTTGTCTCAGCCTTCAATAACCACCACATTCATATATATATGAATATATATATGAATTCTTACATATATATAAGAGCTTTGCTCATACCATTCCCAAAGCATTTATTAAATTGCTCTAATAATTTGATTGAAGGTCTATCCCTTCACAAAACTCCAAGCTACAATCATAAGGTGGCTATGATCCTGACATACTGGTGAGAATCCAGCCCCCTTGCCAAGTTTAAGCAACAGGGAGATCATGCTACTTTAGGAGAATAACCTAGGATTCATTCAATAAGTATTTGAACTAATGCATGAACAAATAAACTGATGAACACTATTACAAAATAATGGTCTTTGTTTACATGTGCTTCCTTTATAGATGTGCATAAACTTTACCTTTTTGAGACTCAGCAATGGATAATTTATTTACTAAAAGGTCAATGTAATTCGGGCTCTGTTTTACAGAATAGGGAGGTCTCATAAAAGACGTTCATGTCATACTTTCTTCTCTCTAAATGTTTACAGTCTTGTGGGCAGCAAAGACTTAGACATGTATAAGACTCACTGTTGGTACTTTAATTGTTTACTTGCCCTCAAATGATGCTATAATTTCCTACTTAGTCTGCAAAATGATATAGCCCTCAGAGCCTAAACTTTGCACTTAAACATATCTGAGTACCAATCTTAAGTATTCTGTGTACCAGCAGTGCAAGACTGACCCAGTTGTATAAACTCTGAGTCTTGGCTATATCAACTACAAAATGAAGGTAATGCTTCCTTCATATGTTTACAAAGATAATATATGTACCACACCTGGTAAGTACGCAGCAAGTAATGGTGATGGTAGTGAATGGTGTTGATGGTGTTAATGCTGATGGTGATGTTAGCACATTGAACTGCAACTCCTTGAAGACAAGGATTATCTTTCATTTATATTTGAATCCTCAACACCATAGTACCTGATACATAGCAGAGAGTAAGCAGATGTTTCTTACTAGTATAATCAGTTGCCAACTACTAGATATTAACAACTAAGGGAAATAGAAAAAGAAGAGACTAGTGTGAACTAGAATTATCAAGGGAAACTTTATTGAGGACAGAGATATACAAAGGGTATATTTTTTTCATTGCCAGAGAACAAAACAGAAGTGACTGAGTTACTGAAGATAAAAGAAGCATAACATGCAATGTGTGATGGGGCAGGGAAGAGTAAAAGTCTTCCTTTGAAGCATTAGCAGGGGACATAATTAAATACCTTGTAATTACTAACACTTTAGTGTTCAGCACCAGGCCTACATATTAATAACAAAGATAATAATCCCAAGCCTTGCTCCCTTTGGAAGCCTCATGTTATATCAAAACCATACAAGAAAATGTCTCATTTAAACAAACTGTATGACATAATAAGAAAAACATGAGCTTTATAAGGCGGAAAATCTAGGTTTGAATTTTAATTTTGCCATTCAACTAACTTTATTGTCTTGGGCAAGTCACTTACCTCTTTGAGCTTCAGTTTTCTCTTCTGTAAAATAGGAATAATAATGTTTGTCCCACAGGGCCGATGTGGGGTTGTATGATAATCTTGTAAGGTATCCAGTGCAGTGCCTGGTGTGTAGCAGGAGCTGGCCCTGCCCCCTGGTCATACTCCCTGTTGAACTCCCAGTCGAGGGGACAATTTGCATATTAGCCTTTTATTATATAGGATAGTATGAATTGATGCATTTATGTGTTTGTTCCAAGCCAAGGGGTATATTTTGGTTGTCCATTTTTTGGACATGTAAGCTTGAGCCTACTTGATCTGAGAATAATTGGGAAATAATCCCAGAATTTTTAAAATGGAAATAATCCAGAAAAGGACAAAGTATAGCATTGTACTCTGTGGCTGTTTGTGTCTTTAACGTGAAGAAATGCTAAAAGTGTTATGGGCAATTATGTAGGGTGAATGCTCAAATAGGAAGCTAATAATTTCCTTTATTAACTACCTGCTGTACAAACTGTCATGCAAATACTGCCTTGTGCTTTATGCAAAACATTGAAACACCTAGGACTTTATTCTTCTGCTTGGATTTTTTTCTGTAGTAAAATACATACTGAATTAATTTCAAGTGTGTTTGTCTGTAAACCAGCCAAATATTTCTTTTTAAATATTTGAGCTCTATGTTGAATATACAGAGTTATAGTTCTTAGCACATTACCTTTTTTTCAGTAGTAGATTGCATTCTTAAATCCTTTAATATAGTTCCACATATACTAAAATGTCTTTTATGCCCATATTAATGAAAATTTGTCATTTTATACAGGTTCCTCCAGGGGACCCAGCCCTCTAACCATGGGGGCCCAGGACACCCTCCCTGTTGCAGCAGCATTTACAGAAACGGTCAACGCCTACTTCAAAGGAGCAGATCCCAGCAAGTAAGCCTGGGACTTAGTCCCCTGTATTCTCCACACTCTGTCTTATTCGGTGGAGGCTACCTTACGTACACCTACTTAATTCCTTGTCCTAGAACCAAAAGAAGTCCAGCAAACATGAACAAGTGGTATACCTAGAATGGAAAAGAAGATTTAATTAGGGATATTAATTCACTGATTTTTTTTTTAAAGAATGTACCAAAAGATCCAATAATCGAATATCTTACCATCCAGAAATCTCTGGTTTAGTGTTGGTTGCAAGTAACAGAATACTAAAACTCAACTCTGTCAGCAATGAGAAAATCTATTATGTCACAAAAGTAAATGTCCAGATCATGTCTTCTGTTGCCCTCATCTTTCCTGGACAGGAATCGCCTGCATACAAACTAAAACAATGGTGCATTGGAATGAGAATGTGGGGGGAAAACTTTCCATAACACCCAGATAAATAAGAGGGCAAGTTATATGTGACCCTTACTCTGAGTAAGGAAAAACTGGCCAGAAATAAATAAGTAAATAAATTGTAATCACAGCAAAATAAAACTTCCAGGGAAAAATATACTACTATTTACAAGAACCTTATTTCACTTATATCAGTACATATTGATAAGGGACTTGACCAGAATGTATATGTAACATAACTAAATGTTTTGTCTCTATATAAGGAGTTTCACAAAAAGGATTCAAGAAGTCTGTGGATTTCCTGAGATTATATTACTTAACTTACATGTGTGTGCATATATGCATTTGTCCGTAGAGGGGGTCTACAACATTAATCACTTTCACAAAGGGGTTCATGAACCACACACACACACACACAAAGTTAAGAGTGATTATTGTTCTACACTAAAAACTAAACACTTAAGTCAAACTAGGTTTCACTTGTGTCACTAGTAGAATTCAGGTCTGAATTTGATGGATAAACAAAGGGCAAACCTAAGTGAGGGAAATATTGCTGAGAAAACCTTAGTATCTATGGAAATAACAGTGAGAGAAAAAAATCAATGTGCATATAGAACAATAGGCTATTTTATAAAAATTTTGAAAACAGTGATAATTAAGAATAATTAGAACTTTGCTTCCCACATGTATTTTAAGTGGGAATCTGTATGACTAATCATGAATTCTCTTTACACTTCAGAAACACTGGTTTTTATAAGTCTAGGTGTAACACTATTACGCTGGGAAAGTAATATAATTAGTAACTCCACCTTTTGGTGTCCTACCCAACCTCTGGGATCTATCAACCACTCTAAGTGTCATGTCTTTTTAAATATCTAGGTTTTATTCTCAGCCCAGTGTATTGTAGAGAAGCAAACACTGTGGCCTGCGGTATCTTGGTCCATTTGGGCTGCTAAAACAGAATTCCATAGAGTAGGTAGTTTATTTCTCATAGTTCTGGAGGCTAGGAAGTCAAAGGTCAAGAAGCTGGCAGATTTGAGTGTCCAATGAGATCTGGCTTCCAGATTTATAGACAGCCTTTTCCCATGTGACCTCACATTGTGGCAGGGACAAGGGAGCTCTGTGGGATCTCTTTCATAAGAGCACTAACCTCGTTTATGAGGGTTCTACCCTCATGGCCTAGTCACCTCCCAAAGGACCACCTCCAAATGCCATCACACTGGGGATTAGATTTCAGTCTATAGCACTCTGGTTTATCTCAGGTCCTTTCTTTTTTATCTTCAAAGCAGGAAGTTCATTTGCCACATCCTCATATCAATAGAAATTAAAAGCTACCTCATACAGAGGTCTGAGTTTGAACTGTTAGAGCAAGGACATACCCTGAGTTTAAATTGTATATATATTACATGGGATAAACCTGGGTGCTATAGACTGAATGTTTACATTCCCCTGCCCCCATGCCCCAATTCATATATTGAAACCCATAAAAGCAGTCAAACCAAATTAATTTTTAGTGCTTTTCCTATGCCTTTGGATATGAACTGAGCCATTGACTTGTGGATGACTGCACATATTGAGCTGTTTTTAATTATACTGCCATAAATAGTTGCAGAATATACTATATATTGGTAGATAGGAGGTACAGAATATTTCATTAAAATTATGAGATCTAAAATTTATGAACAGATCATGAAGTAGTGTTCTTCTAAATTTAATTTCTTCTCCAGGCAGTAAATCATTTGCTGTCCCTGTGTTATTCACTTTTAAGGAAGCAACTCAAGTTCAAAAGTTTGATCATGGGGTGAGGAAGGAAGGAGGAGGATAAAGCCAAACACAGCACCACATAGGGAATGATGCAGAAAAGAAATGGGGATTTGCTTTTGCCTGTGGTTCCCTCTTATCCTGAATCAGAGCCTTCTCCATGTGTTCAGAACGTACATTGGAAACAGAAATCTACTACTTTAATTGTTTTTTACAATCCATTATGATATACAATCCATTCAAATAGAGTTACACTTTTCCCCTGAGTATTCAGAACACCTGTGACAGGTATTCTGCCATCTGAGTCTTTCTCAATAGCTGGTAGGCACAGAATGCCTTGATTTTTGCTGCTGGCTGGGAAAACGCATCTCCCATTATTATCTCCTATTTGAACAAGCCTGGTACTAGGGGTTAATTCTCTAATACCCTAGAAAAACTTGGGTTTCTCAAATATATTCAGCCCATCCCTTATCATCATACTTCAGTTATTTATTCAAGTGTTTGTCTCCCTGTTTACCCTGGAGGCTTGGGCAAGGACCACATCTGTCCTGTTTCTCACTGTTCATTCTAGTGCATTACATTATGCTGGGCACATTGAATGGGCACCCTGTGCATCACTGTGAAATGTACTCTGCACTAGGTTCTGTGTTATGCACCTTTGCCTTCCCAGAACCTAAGACATACTACTTGCCTTCACAATAGTAGATAAGATATGTGCAAGAAACAACAACATTTCCAAAAAAAAATATGTACATGTGTCCATGGAAACTAGAAAAAGGAAAATTTAAGAAAGGTGAAATGGAGAGGATATTAAGGAAGGCTTCAGAAGGGCCTGCTTTTGAACTGAGTCTTGAAATATGAAAAGGAGTTGGCCTAGTACCTAAGCCAATGGAAGGGGATTATAAGGAAGAGAAGCTGCTTATGCACAGAGGTATGTTCGTTTGAAAAGAAGACCATGGGCTGTTATCAGGGCAGTGCAGAGAAGTCACATTTAATGAGGATGCATTTCTGCTGACCTCACATAAATCAAATCCACACATTCGCTGGCCAAAACTGGCCGGCGTTTCTGTTGACTGGCTAACATGGTGCTGCCTATGGGAGGACCCAGTTTTGTAAGTCACTTGGCCAGTAGACTTTGAACTTTTGCCATTCTTCACAAATGTTTCCTTTGTAAGGATTCACATGATTTCAAAGTGTATTCATAAAGTAAGTTTGCTAATATTTCCATATTGCAGTATTTTAGATTTCCATAACTCACATTCACATGAAATATAGTCACGTTGTATGCTGATAGGAACAATCATTAAAGTTAAACAAAGATTTCCTTTAGTGAATATTGAGAATATTAATTTTTACATAGAAAGTTTCAGATCAGCTTTGACATTGGATGGATTATTAAGTCAGCAAAAGTCTGACTCTGACACTTGAGATGTAGTTCAGAAATGTAATGTAAGTGAGGAGACTTGGTGTCCTTATATTGCCTTGTATTGAAGACTCATTGCTCACTGTACACCGTTGATTTTCCTTTAGTGAATATTGAGAATATTAATTTTTACATAGAAAGTTTCAGATCAGCTTTGACATTGGATGGATTATTAAGTCAGCAAAAGTCTGACTCTGACACTTGAGATGTAGTTCAGAAATGTAATGTAAGTGAGGAGACTTGGTGTCCTTATATTGCCTTGTATTGAAGACTCATTGCTCACTGTACACCGTTAGCCCCTTTGAAGGCAGAGGCTGTTTTGCTCACATTTTAATTGCCTCCCCACTCAAAAAAATAAACTTACACAGTTAGGAATCAATACATGTTTACTGACTTAAGAAACACCACCTCCTCCCCTCGCTGACTTGTTTTCAAAGAGCAACTTTATCCCCCACAATGCCACCACTTAGCTCTCATTTTGAGCAACCTGGAAAAGAAACTGAGCAGTTTTCCTACCAACTAAAAAGCACTGGAGCCACCGCTGCTAATAACAATATGCTGAGTGATGGTACCATTGAAGTCTAATTTACCGAGTGCTCTAATTATTGTTTTCTCCTAGATTTATCAAATGATATTATGCCTGTTCGCATATTGTAAGACATCAAGGGGAGACTCAGCTTGAGAGGAAGTTCAGGCTAGCACCAGTTTAGTACCATTAAATTAAGCAAGGCTTATGGGTCTAAGAGATAGAGAAGGGAGGCAGCAGAGTGGGCACCCAAACTCGCACTCAGCAGTATTCTTCAGAAGAGATGGATGGAGGTGAAAATTCTCATTCAGAGCAGTGCAGAGTTATGTGTGACAGTATCTGAGGGGAGAGGGTAGCATATGGCAAACCAAGAGAGCTCACCTGCCTTCCTCCTGCACCCCAAACCCGGCCTTATGCATACAAGCCTGTAGCAGTTCTTCACATAAGCTATTTTGAATGTGGACCCAGGACTGTCTCACCTGAGCCCCGTGTGTCTCGTCAAGCACAGTTACACAGTACACAGGGTGACGATGGGGCAAATAGAGTTTCCTAGACTCAAACATGAGCAACATTTTCAGTTGTTGACCTCAATTTCCCTAGAAAGTATATTCCTGAACTTAAAGTTGTAGAACTGCTACCAGGTTCAGTTGTCCAGATGTATGGGGAAGTCATAAAAAAGTTCACTCATTTTAAATATTTACTCTTTCCCAAAGAAGAAGAATCCTTTTGAGATTTCTGCTTCTGGCCAAGGGCCTGATTTACCCTTCCACTCAAAAATACCTCAAAATATGTGAAACATTGATTTGCAAAGGACAGTTAACCTGGAGAGGGCAGGGGAGCCATGTGATTGCCCAGCTTACCTCTCTAGGGCAGTGATGGCGAACCTATGAC